ACTGTGTGGGAGGAAGCTGGAGAACCCGGAGAGAACCCACGCTGCACGGGGAGAACATGCAAACTCCACGCAGAAAGATTCCGGTGCCCCCACTGGGACACGAACCGGCGACCTTCTTGCTGCGAGGCAACAGTGCTAACCAACTGCCCCACCCTGCAGTATTACAGATTAATTTAAATCCCATCTCTGGATTGAATTGATTAAACCCTAAAAACGCTCTGTTTCAAAATTCAGAAGCCTTTTCCATGAATAAAAACACAATCTTCTAGCCTTAAAGTGGATTAGACCCAATTTCACCTTTATAATGTGCAGCTCACCTACGACTCTGCTCAAACACGGCACTATTCAGTCATACATGGTCAAACTGGGAACCAAATTCTAAGGAAGAATTTTGATGAACCACATTTTCTCACATACACACAAACAACTGACGTAAAGTACTTTGTTTACAGACGCACAGCCATCCAGAGCATTTGGTCACAATGTGCTTTTGGATGGTGATGATGATTTGAGCTGATGATTCACAGCAGACATTCAGAGAGATGACATGGAAGTTAAACTGCACTAAAACACAAAATAGTAATGCACTCATGTCAGGCCCATGGAGGCGTCGATGCTTCATGATGGAGCGCAACAAATTCACAATAATGGCTAAAAATCTGAACCCAGGATTAAAATAAAAATCTATTTTGGGGGGATAAAAATTCCATCACACCAAAGACATGTAGCCTTAACTGGACAATTTTAAAGTCCCTCTACAGTCTTTGATTAAACCCACAAAAACTCATCTGGGTATCAAAGTTGCATATTTAGAGAGTTTATTTTTTCCATGAAAATAATCTCTTTATGCCTTGAAATGCCTGATATGTAAGTCCCTGCCTCTATCTCTACCCATCTCTCTCCACTCACAGCAGCTGGAGCACACCAGCTCGCCTGTGATTCTGTTCAAACACTGTACAACTACCCTACACTATGTTATCCATCCATCCATTATCTATACACCGTTTAATCCTCACTAGGGTCGCGGGGGAGCTGGAGCCTATCCCAGCCAACTTAGGGCGAAGGGTCGCCAGTCCATCGCAGGGCTACACTTAGAGACAGACAACCAAGCACACTCACATTCACACCTATGGACAATTTAGAATCACCAATTAACCTCAACATGTTTTTGGACTGTGTGGGAGGAAGCCGGAGAACCCGGAGAGAACCCACACTGCACGGGGAGAACATGCAAACTCCACGCAGAAAGATCCCGGTGCCTCCACCGAGACGCAAACCGGCAACCTTCTTGCTGCGAGGCAACAGTGCTAACCAACTGCGCCACCTTGCAGCCCACACTATGTGATGTCTAGTTGCAATATTGGAATAATTCAGCAATACGTCTTTGAACTGAAACCAATTTTAAAGAAGAATAATGACACAGATAGTCTCTTCCTGCAGGCTGAAAGGTTCGGTTCATCAGGTTTATTACATATAAAACCCAATAAGTCTGAATCTGTGTGTGTGAGACTGTCACTGGTACAATGCAGTTTCAGCACAGGAGCATCATTTTGCTTATGATATGTCTTCTGACATATAAAATGCACCATACAGACATGATAACAAGGTTAAAATACATGCATTTTCACAGCAGTGGTTTAGCTGAAAACCAGTCAGCTTGAATAAATGATTTAAATTCCACTAGAGGGTACTACAACCAAACTTTAAAGCTGGATAGATGCACAAATGCACATATGGTGTAACTGAGGCTTAGGAACCATTGTATCGTAGTTAAACTTTGAATATGGGGCTTTTTGTTGTCGTTGTTGCACAGATCAATTCATTTTAAAGTGTGCATTAGTCTCTGTGTTTCAAAAAAGTTTACAAAATTCTTCATTTTTAAAAAAATTTCAGTTTTAATCTTTTGAATTTTAAAGCCACAAAGAGGGCTTCTGAAAAGGTCACCTCACGGCAAAACTGTGATATATTCAGTCATTACAAATATTGACTATCACCCACAGTGAAAAATACAAACTTGAAACATAAATGCTTCCATTACTGTGAATTGTAGAACCACTTCAGTTCCTATTTTTTAGATTTAATCATGCATTAGATAGACAATGTGGTTTTAAGGCATAATTCTATCAAACATGTAAACCACAATCACAAAATAAAGCAGATTATTATTGACAAAACAATCTCATTCTCCTTAGTAATTAGTGCTAAAGGAAATGAATGGATGTATAGCAAAAACAATATAAGATCTACAGTAAATGCACCATAAAAACAGCAGAATATCCTACGCTTGCTTTGACAGAACAATCACGCTGTTTTCATGACAAAAAAACACCCATTAACACTAAATCAGCCTCAAGATGGTGGCAAACTGTAGGAACGTAAATGCATTTGCGGTCATCTGGTGCGTCATATTGGTGTATTTGCAATTTCCAGCCACAAGGAGACAGAAAAGCACCGGTGATGTTGCTCTGCCAGCTGTTATTTCTGTTGATGTCAAGGAAGCTGTATCCTTAAAGGCCCTCTGTGCTTTGTCTCCTGTATTTGCCATAGAAGGACATGATGGTGAGAAGTGCTGCTGCCTTTGGCAAAGAGAGGCTTGAAAACACTGAGGCCTGGTGCCACGTCAGGTTCAGATATGGTAATAGAGAGATGGAACTTGTGTTTATGGTTTGGGAGCTCGGGATTAAATTCTGTACGGCGACTTCAAAGATCCCAGCCGGAGAGCCGCTAATGTTTTTAAACTAAGTTGCTGACATAATTACATCCCACTTATCATCAAAATGATCCAAACACGAGCTTGTAGAGCGATGCTGCGTCTGGTCAAGTGACCCAGATTCCTCCAGCAGGCAGCAGACCTCAGTACCTGCTTCCTGATCTGTAAACCAGCAGCTTAACATGGGGGTCGTGAGATAAAGCAGCCTGCAGGGGAAATGCTGCACATGTGAAAGTTCTTTGTTGCTGTGCTGATCTCTCAGCTGTGACAAATTAACCTTATTCAGGTTCAATGTAAAACAGCCAAAGAGGTGACTGACCTGCTCAGAAAGACAAACTACAGTAACAACGCGCATTTTATAACTGTGCTTTGAGGAAATGCTCCACTTTTATTATTCTAACTTTAGCTCGATTTGGACTGTAAAGAAAGGAGCATTAATGAGCCGATTAGGTCTTTGAAATCCTCACAACACTTTGCCAGAGAGGTGGCGTAAACAAACTAAGCATCGGTGAAATGTCGTAATCTCATTCTTAAGATTGAGATTTTGTTCATTAGTGGAAGAAAGAAGGACTCTGGTGAAAAATAAGATTACACATATTAAGTCAAATATTCCTTTTGAAGACCAGATGAGGTGTTTTGTTCAAAGCCAGGAGCAGAAGATTTAAACAATAGAACCATTAACATGTTAATAACAAAAGAAAGATATTTTTCTCAAAAACCTTTTACTAAGTGGTACCTTTTTTAAATGCAAAAATGGATTTATAAAGGTAAGCAACCTAAGGCTTCCACATTTTCCTCCAACCTCTGAGAAACAAGGTGGAAAATATCTGTCTGGTACTGCAACTTTGAAAACAAACCAAAGTTATGTATCGTGTTTTTATTGTTAAGTGACTGGATGAACTTTGAGACAAATTGTAATGTGTTGTTCTTTTCTCCTTGTAAAAAATTAATCCTAAACTATAGAAACAGTCAAAAACAACCAGTAGAATAATGTGACAGAGTGAAAGAAGCACTCACAGAGGCTATAAGTACAGTTTTAGTCACTGGCTTCAAAAGACCACAGCAGTGGTTGTGCACGTTTTAACATATTTGCAACAAAGCAAATATTCTTTCCCTTGAGACATCAGGTTCGCAGGAGATTTGAGATAAAAGAGAAGTTTCCATTGTGAGGTGATGCAAGGCAGACTTTCTGACTATATCTGTACGACAAAATTGTCTGAGATTCCCTGTGATGGATTGCCCAACATTTTAAGTTTAAAAGGATTTAAGGCTTGTTTCACAAAAGCGGTTTTCAAGCACCGCTTAATTCAGACTGCAAATGGTGCCAGCATCCCATTTCACAAATGACTGCAAATGTTTTGTGGCGGGTAAAAGAAATTTAGCTCGAATTTAAAGTTTTCTTACAAAGTTCCAAAGGGTTTTGAATTTGAATAGCAAGTGTAATGTTTTGAAAAGTTAAAGCGTTGACAATCACAACAGAGAAAACGATACC